CTTGCAAGTAACACTGGTAACGAAAACAAGCCAGATCTTCATTGTTCTTTACTTCAAACATAATTTCATTTTTCCAGAAAATCGAAAAAATACGCAAAATGTCTACTTTTACAGCTTATTATTATTTTACTTAATTTCCACAATCTTTTCTAAGGCTGTAAATGAACTTTCGCGCATTTTCTATCACGGTTTAATATCGTACGTTTTATGACACGAAACGTCTTCTCGGTTTACGGACTGTAATTAACTGGTTTACGGACCGTAATTAACTGGTTGCCGGTTCTTTACTGATTTTAAATTGTACCGGCGAAAATGAAAATCGCAATCCACACAAAAAATTTTTCAGACGACTGCCCGAAAAAAATATATTTCGTTGGTGTTCTCGTGGTCCCAAACCGAATGCCCCTACTTCTATTTCCCCGGATCGCGCCCCTTACTCGTGCAATGTTACCACCCACAAATGTCCTACGCTTGACGCAACGAATCACGAGCGCGTAAAGGCCGTGAATAAAAAATCCACGGCCCTTTTAAGTCTTACGCAGCTCTACGATCTCATCGCGAGTAAACCTGCTTTGGCTGTAACGTAAAACATGTTTAGATTGGATTACCGCCCGTCAGACTGGCGCTGGTAACTTATCCAGGAGATTAACTGGTCATGATGCATCCGTAAACCAATGACCCATAAAATCATAGATCGCCAAAATCTTTCGGACTTTCAAACTTTGAAAAAATTTTGGAATAACCTGCCCTGTATACTTTCCTAATACCCATATCCTAAAACTGAAGTACCCTAAGGACATTCAAAATAAACCAGTAAAAAGTAACTGCAACTCTAATGTTTCAAGGGAGTTTGACATGAACGCTTTACTTTCACATCCTGCACCTTTTTTTAATGTAAATTTTGGTTTCTTTTCAATTTGAGGGCAGTAGCATTTAGTAACTATGCAAATGTGATACATTCCAAGTAGTAGGGGAGACAAAGTTCTACTGGGAAACTGAAATCTCTTGCAATAAGATCACAAAAGTGAATTTAATTTTTTTGCCGGACATCTTAAAGTATTCGGAAATTCCTTCACTTAGGGAAGAATGTTTTAAATAGCGCAGGAAGATGTTTAATCGTGGCTTTTTTGGTGGTATACGTTGCTTGCGTGTTGGTGGAAATTACTGGTTGCTTTTTGCGAGCAGCTTATTGTCTTGGCGATTGGCAGTTGTCGCCCTATTTGAGCGTATTATTGCAAGACGATCAGTCTTGCCAATTGTACTGCTATAGAAGAAAGTCTGTTATGTGCTCTAAGGGATTCTATCTAACACCTCGTTCACAGTTTAAGTAGATTTAAGCGGAAGCGTGTGTTACGTTTACGAAGTTTAGCCGAATTGTCTTATCATGCGTTTATCTCTTATGTGAAACCTTTCCCAGTACCAGTTAAAAGGAGTCTTTCCACCATCAAAGAGCCAAAAAGCATTCTGAAATTACAACGAACCCACTGTTGTGTAAATATAAATTCAAATGTAAGTAAAGAAGTGAAGTTCCTGAAACAACATCAGGTGGGTTTTGTCTTCTGTTTGTTGAAAATCGCAGTTACGATCGGATATTTTAGATTATTAACACTTTAAAGTCATTAATATTTCATTTAATTAATTTTTCGCTTATTGTTGTTTCACTCCCTTCAATCCTCAAGCCAACTGCAAGTCTGTCCAAAACAGTTACTAGTGGCTTCCAGTTGTTCAGTCGCCTCTTATGACATGCAGTGCCCTCCGAGGTACGGTTATTCTTTTCCACCCCTGCGCGTAAATACGTGTCTACGAAAGAAAATAAAATTCATACAGATTTGTCTAAAATTTAACGACGTTTTCCTTGGCAGGCATGTGTAAGTTACATTTCACGTTTCTCTTTCTATAGTGATTCTACAGAGAAGGCACATTTCAATTAAATGTTCGTTAACCTCACCTCAAAATCTATTTTGGTTGTGTAACTTAAATTCATCAAAAAAAACTCGTGGTTGTGGTTGATCCATGCTCAAAATGGGGGTGATGAACCATGAATGAAATAAACGACTCAATTCCTCAAAACCTTCCCCATGGATATTTAATTGTTGACAGTTAAATTCATACAGCATAAATCAATATTGTAGTTTAACGATGCAATTATTAAGTTAAGCTGGTTGCTGACTAAATCCGTAGTGAAATTCTTTCATTGTCGACTTTTTGAGGGCTCTTTTAAACGAGTAGAAGGCAAGAAATAAAATTGTCACGTCAAATTCCTCCCTTTTCACCACGAATGCAAACGATTCACTTTTGAAAATCCACCGTCTTGTACGAACGAGGCAAAACATTTTACGTCAATCTAAACCTGATGGAAATCCGGATTAGAACTGAAAAGAAATAATCTGACAAAACTCAAGGCTATTTTTTATACGAGCTACTACGATTTTATCAATCAATAAGGATTTGGATACTAGCTCTTGTACATGACATTTTCAGGATATAATTCGCTACTTTACTTTTTGTGATGTTTGTTAACGTCTTTCATAGGCAAGTGGAGTTTGAGGTGATTTCTAAGGAAACGATACCTTGTAAGCTAACATTTAGGGAACGTTACGCAGGCTGTCTTGGAATATCTAAATATTTTTACGTATTCGGAACATGCAGCTTTCGAAAATAAAAAAGAATGTCCAGCCATATCTAACCACGTGCTTAAAATGTACACTCATGGTTCAATCCCATATGTTTCCTGCTCAAAAGGGACAAGTATCGTTTCTGCGTTACTATCGACAGTTAACTGCGTGTAATAAGAACGCCTACCCTTTACCATATATATCATATATACTAGATCAGAGTGACTGGAGGACACGACTGAAAAACAACTCGTTAGTTAAAAACCAGGAAATTTTTTTGCATAATCAGAGTTCCATTAGCGAAACCGGCTCAAATGCTGAATCTACTGGAGAGGTTTCATGCTCTCCACTCGCGGCTCTATTTTGTTTTTGTACCCTATTTGTTGTTGCAATCGTAAATCAGAGTAAACATGGCTAAAGAATCCGACGTTTGTCCAAATCCAGCTATCCGTCTTATTCCACCCACGGATTACGATAAATCTTGTAGTGAACTGTCGCCCTTCTAAAAGTGGGCTCCTCTCATCAAACCGTGTACATATTAAATTTGTTTTATCAGAAACACAAACCGCACATTCAAATTACCTAGTTAAAATGGGTTAGCTGTACTTGTAGGTAAACAATAGTTTGAGGAAAACACATGAAGTGTAATTGCAATCGTATTTCTGCTTAGTGGTTAAATTCTCGGCACGGATTCGCTTAACGTTGTTATTGCGACATGTGCAAGTAAAATTCTTACTACTTTTTATAATGCTTTTAGTAGTGCAGGACACAGTGAAGTAAGTATACCGCGTAATTTGGAAGTATTCTTGTGGGTCACTCTGCAGTATGACCGTTAGGAGATTATCGACAACGAGCTGTGTGGATAACAACACGAGAAAGTACTCTCCTAAAAAACCCATCGCAGCGCACCTTAAGGGTCATAACGAACTACGGATGCTGTCGTGTCGTGTAGATGTGACACTATATAGTCTGGGTTCTTTGAAACAAACGGGCGATTATATATAAAAACAGCGATGAAAACTTATACTTACTTGGCGTAGGTATTTCTGAAAGAAGCAATTAATTAGTTTGCTGAAAGATCAATTTTATATTATAAAAATGACGTCAATTACTCACAAAACATCTGTCCACCCTGCATTTAACTAAGAATTTTGTAACTTTTCTCGTACACATCAGGCAAGTACTATACAAAAAAATCCCAATAACGACATTATTATAATAAGGACAAACTACGTCTTCAACAATCAAATATGGCGGACTGTCCGAATAAAAATAGCGCAAAGAAACGTACACGCTTTTCAACCGTCGCGAACCAGCAGATAACAGCCTCATTTTTACGTTGATTCCAGTATTTAAGGAAAAACCGTACAAGGCGGAAAAGAGATTTTTAATATTCAGGTAATTTTAATAGAGTGAGCTAGCCGTTGATACATTTTGGGCAGAAAAATTTCACTTCCTCTTTCAGTTTTTGCTTATTTAAATATTTGTGATGTATACAATGAACATTTGAAATCAACCACTATATCGTGGCCTGGTCCCTTGCGAAATACCCTTATTTAAATGTCAATGAACAATAAAAATTATGGCAGTTTTTTCACAAAGAATGCACACCTTATGGCTAAAAAAGTTGAACCCCCTTGTCGGAAATTCTCATTGAAAAAAAACACAAATTCAAATAATAATTTTATAAAATACAGTGCGGCTTAAATCAGTTAATTTATACAGATCCATAGCTTCAGGAAAAGCATTTGGGATTAAATCTGTCAACAAAATATTTATTTTTTACGAAATTTTCTTATAGAGAACCAATCATAAATTTGATACAAATCAATAAAAGTTTACAGTATCTCATATATAATGGTCTCTGGAAGTAATGTCTTTCATATAATAAAAACCCGGCACCGCCATTCGTGTAAAGATGGTACCTTCAAAATTGATCAAAGATAGCAGAATTTGGATCTAAGGAAGGACCGCCGTCAATGTGGGATTGTCTTGGAAATTGAAGCGCCTGATGTAATTTCGCGGCAATTGAACTGTCTGTGTTTACGGCCCACAATCCCAATACCAGGTGATTTAAATATCTCCGGTAAACATCAACCTTCCAAAGGGACAAATTTAAAATTATTTAAGCTGTCACTATGGCGTTTCATCTATCCATCAGAAAACGTCCGCTAGTGATTAAAGTTCATTTTTCCTTAACTTGTTTCCTTAAGTTGTTGTGAGTCGAAAAGGTACCCCTTGGGAACACTTTGATCCCATGAACTAGTGGCAAATTACTAATTTGAACTGGGGTGTCTTTCTCAAGGGGTGTAATTCTTCGATTACGTGAGGAAGTATAGGAAATGGTGACATCACATGGTTTTGCCAAAACAATTAGCATCCGATCTTCAATAATTAACGGATCAAAGCAGCAGTCTGGCAAATTCAGGTCGTCCACGTCAGGTAACAAAATTAACTGCATCTCCATTAAATAATTTGACAACCACAGTGCCAGAGGAAGAACTGGTACGTACATTTTCCCAGTTTTCAATAGGTACGTGAAGATACCCTGCATAACTTTGACGGACAACATCAAGGACGTACTAGAAAGTGTACAGTATAGTTTTATAGGTACTGAAACTATGTCAATACTTAGATTATGATAACGTCTTTGATTGTTTTAGACGTAATAAAAATGAGTGTACAAGACGAAAACGAGTCATTAGATTTTCGGGAAGAAGTTATTTTTTCAAGTGATATAGACGAAAGTGTTTATATTGATCCGGAGGGTCGCACCGAAGATTTGCCCAAGTCGCCCGAAGTGGATCCCTCGCCATCGACACCAATATCGAAATCCCCCTCCGCAGTACTGAGAGAAATTCCCAAGACCGCCTTTGGAAAAATGGAAGACTGCTTGGAGGACGATCTGACCTGCTTTGGAAAATTTATAGTCGCACTTCTCCGCAAATTACCCGACATGGACGCTTTGAAATGCCAAAATCAAATTTACAACATTCTGTCGTCACAAAAATTGAGTATTTTAAAAAAGGAACTTAGCGAAGCCCAACCGCCACCTGAAACGTCTCCTGTCGGATCTCATCACGAACTCAGCGCGTATTCCATCACGGAGTATTAATGTAACAAAAGAGTTTTTTAATTACTTGCTAATAAATTTTGTTGTGAGATAATAACTTGTCATTTCGTATATATAAGAAATATTCTTCAATGTTTCTTTATAGTAGAAAAGAAACAAAGGAAAATGCAATAATGAAACAGTGAAAGTTTTAGCGTCTATTTTCTGACTTGCATTGTTGTGTGAGCTGTCAAGATAATTCAAATAAAGTAGGAAGGAGGGATGAAGAGAGAAGTTGTGAGGGAAGATGATACAATTGAAAAATCTGCAAGAAAAGTGATAAGTGAAGAAACTTAAAACTAGAAAGTGTATGAAATGGAAACGTAAATGCGGTGTGTTAAAAGGTTGGAGGGCATGAAGGAGGTATGGGGGAGTCAGAAAGAGGGTATGATGAGTGAAGCAAGAATGAAGGCGGTGTGAAGGAAATCTTAAATGGTAAAGCCGTAAAGAAAAATGGAGCGACACAGTGAACAAGATTTGAAAGTATTTGCATGTGAGAATGTACAAGGCATAACCAGAAGAGGTAAAGGAACGAGGTGCCAAGGAAGAGAATCAGAAGTAAAAAATAGTGAAGAAAGAAACTTAAGGAACGAGTCATGATGAAGGAGACAGACATTGAGAAAATATGTGATGGGAAAGTAGGTTTCAAATGCATACATAAATAAAACATGGAGAACAAAAGAGGAGACGGTTGTAGATTGCACAACTTACACATACTTTAGTATGCGGGAAAGTGACGTGAAGGAAAGACGCCTTAAAGCAATAAAGATAAAAAGATTAATGTGTGAAATAAATGTAAACAAGAAAGTGTTCTTTGCACGGACCGACTATAGAATCCTCGCTGATGTTACCGATGGACAAGAAGAGGAATTACGACAACGACAGAATCCGTGGGAAGCTTAACGCCGACCCCCCCGAAACAGCAACCCTCATTGATCTGGTTCCTCCCGCTAGTAGTATTGAAGACGACCACAAGAACTCCGCTCACGACATTCGATCAGTATCCGCAGCATCCGAATGACAAGAAAATACTTCTAAGTGTCACCAATAACGGGAGTATCTTTTCCACCCAAACTGCCTAGTTCTAGCCAGCCGGGAGAACCATGGAAACGGACCGGCGCGGCGGCCGGAAACTCCACGGTGTCGTCCAACTAATCCACTGCACAGCCGGTTTGTCGTACCACTTTGTAAGAGAGTAGTTCGCATCGGAGATTGGACGCTGCGCCGACACAACAGCCAGCCTAGTAGACCCGAACCACCATCTCCACATCGTATGCATCGCCACCAGCAAATACACGCTCCGCAGATAGATAGAGCGAGACCAATTCCTTGTCGCTTCAATCCTCGTAATGACCATCATCCGCGACCAAGCTTTGGGTAAAGAAACAAACATACATTGGCCAAGGAAAACTAACACTCCTACTATCACTACGAAGGACGTCCAACACCGCCGCTCATATCCCAGCTGGACACCACCGCCTCTACCACTCACCGAATTAAACTAAGGCAAGATACACCGTTCTGAGTCCCCCGTACAAGTACTCTCCGGAGAAGAAACAACTAGAAGAACTACGCCTACCAAAGGGCAAAGGAGACCGCACACGCAATCAGCACCCAATACTACTGGCTCAAAATAACCGCGGACGCGGAGAATTACCTACGCACTTGCTGGGTCTACGCCGCCACAAAACGTGGACTAATCCACTTAGCAACTGTCTATCCTCCGCCACCGAGCGGACCATGGGATATGATATCCGTTGACATCATGGGATCGTACATAGGGTCAAATCGCGGAAATAGATTCATCATAGTGGTCACGGACTTATATGCCATGTGGGTGGAAGAGCCGCTACACCACCGACGCCGTGGTCAACACACTCGAAAGACAACGAGCCACAGTTCACGTCGGTCACCTGAGACCTTCATCTTCCATCCATTTTCAACTTTATTGTTTTGTTTCTTGTAAATCCTGCGAAAATCTTCGTCTGCAGCTTGACGTTGGCTCGATGGAAGTGATTTCGTGCTCTTGGATTGATTTCTTTCTTAGGGATCCGCCCAGTGGATAGTTTAACTTAAAAAATGAACAACGCGGTCTGCGAAAACTACGAGCGCAGATTTGGCAGCAACTACGGTCACTGAAGGAATGCTTCCTTTCTTATTAAATGCACTCATATTTATAGGTATCGGCGTATCCCCGTTGTAAATTTTGACCGGGTATCTTATAACGATGAATCGTATAAATATATAAATATAAACATTCGGTTATGATATCCAACTCACTCTCTTTGCTCTTATTTTAATTGCAATGACCCGCTTCATTTACCCATCCCGAATATACACGCAGTATAACTATTAATTTACTCTAATTACATATGAATTGCATATCCAACCACGCTTGTTATTTAATATCTCTAATTCTCTTTCATGTACATCTATGTAATCATGAAAAAGAATGCAAAAAATTGGCGTTATGATATACAGGGTGTTGTATTTAAAAAAATGTTTCGGACTGACTGGGCTTACATGAAGTTCTATCATAATTATTTTCTTAGTATTACTCCACTTTTAAAGTTTACGTGTAATTATTATTAGTGTTGAAACTTGAAGGACGGCAGTCTGGTGAGCGGGTAAGATTATAGTTAGATTATAGGTTGTAAATCATGGTTCGTAGGGAAACTATTGTTATAATTAGATTTTAAAAATTAATATCTAAACGAACAGTTTTGTGCTGAATGATAATTTTTCCTGCAAATTTAAAAGATTCGATAAATTCCAATTAGGTGTTTAGTTGAGGTGACGTCACACGCCCTTGTAAACCGATTTCGAACGAATATAATATGTACTTTAACCTGAAACTTGCAATGGGTTTTTGGAAATAAGGGGACGGAATAATTTTGATTTTATACACCTGGTTTCTGACTTGTTTGCCTGCAGCGATAGTCAATAAATACAAAATTATCATAAAACTTATATATTGACGAGACAAAACAGATCCGATTTACACTTGTTTTCTATTGATATCTTTTACTAAGGATTCAACCACAATAAATTCGTGGCCACGTGGCTACCAGACAACAATATACGGCAAACTTTTTATACAAAATACACCTTATTGCTAATCAAATCGAAACCATTTGCATGGATATTCTTTTGCTTTTTTAACTATAACAAAACCAATTTAATAGGACAGCCCAATTTTTTGGCACATTTAATTTTAATGAGTTCGTAAACGACACATCAGTTCAATTGGTCCACAAATTGATACCTTTAAGAAAACAAATCAAAATTTTTCTTTTAGCAACATAAATCAAGATCACAGTACCTCATATCAAAATATCCTTTGGAGACGATGATTCGCATACAAAGGAGACTTAGTACGACCTTCCGTTCAGAGATAATATTTCGTAAATTGACCAATGGGAACACTGTAAAGTGGATTTTAGCGACGTCTATTTGCACCTCTATGTATTGATGCTCTCCGGCCATAATTTCGGGGGCGTTGAACTTCCGTCTATTATTTACAGGCCAATAAGGTTTCCACTGTAGTTTGCCACTAACCTTTTCCGATTACATTAATTGGTTGTGAAGGCTTTTCACAAAAGGAAAGATGTTCACTAAGTAAAATGAGACAGAATGCCAGAAAGTAGGACAGGAGCGCATTCGATGCCAACTTTCTGCTGTAGTGGTTTTTTCTACTTTTGTAATCCTACTACGGCTAAAACCGTTATTCCCACTCCAATCCTAAGGGATTAGGACTTCATGAAAGAGAATCGTTTTGCAGAGAAACCTGTCACACACAAAATGAAATCTGAAAATTACGATTAATAAATTTTACGAAATTTGCACGGGAAAATGTGATACTTTTGTAATCATAGACAAAGAATCAACCCTTAGGATAATCCATTTTCGCTATGCGGCAATTCTTGCGAAAAATACATTACCCATACAACAATATGCCTCACGTTTTCACTAAAAGGGGCGATCGTGTAACCAAAAACGTGTCGAACAATGATAACTTCGTCTTCCTTTTCATTTCAGGACAATCAGTGCATGAGGATCAAAATTTTAGGAGACTGTTATTACTGCGTTTCCGGGCTTCCAGTATCGCGGCCTAATCACGCCTATAACTGCGTTAATATGGGCCTACAAATGATAGACGCTATATGGTAAGTTTGCCGACTTGAAATATCGAACTTTGTGCTATATTCGAACTTCTGTTACAGCTTTGTTCGCGAAGCAACAGGATTTAATGTTGATATGAGAATAGGGATTCATACGGGAAACGTTCTTTGCGGCGTTCTGGGATTAAGGAAGTGGCAGTTTGATGTATGGAGCGACGACGTCACCTTAGCTAATCATATGGAGTCTGGGGGAATTGCAGGGTTTGTAATCGAACTTTTAGCTTACAAATTATTAATATGTCCCGAATTACTTAGGCTCGCACACAACGCGTAGCATTTACATATTAATTTAAGGCATTCGTGTGCTTTCAAACAATTTCGCGGAACCTTCCGTGCAACGTTAAGTTCCAGTCATTAAATTAACGCGTGGGACAATTTGGTAACGTTTTATGCAGATTACGGCACAAAGAGACCGCAAATCTCTTATAATCTCGCACCTTATTTTTAGCGCAAACGCAAAATTTAGTGGTAGGAGCTTTCAGGAGTAATCCTCGCATAAATTTGGATTTCAAATGTGCACATCAGTTGAAGATAATATCTGAGTAATGCTCCTATCTGTAATTACTATAGTTGCTTCTAATGCAATTAGCATTAGTAAGCAAAATGCAAGGACAAATTGGAATACTTATGACTATTCACTGTCATTTCCCGACCAATATTAGTAGGGTAGGATTGTAATTTTTTTTTACTGCAGCCCAATATTAAGTAGGGTGGTTCTATTAGAGCTGGTATTCCACATTTTTATATTTCTAATAATTGCCTTAAGTCGATTTATAAAAGAAGGGTTTTAAGAGAGGGAAAATTTAATTAATGCGACTAGAAAATCATACAATAATAATTTTCTCTCCTCTTCCAATCGAAGGGAGCTTTCGGATTCTGCAAAGATAATGTAAATATTTCCACGGAATCCCTAAATACTGGAAAGATTTTTCAGCTCGCCCGACGAATTCCTAAGAAAGCGTTCAAAAATTACAAATTCTTCTTTAATTAATTTCTCGGCTTCCGATCATCTAAAAATCTAAGACGACTTAAAATTCATGGTAATTAAGCACGCTTCATTTGACACCAAACCCAAGTCAAACGAAAAAAAACCAACATATTTAATTAACTACGGTTAATTATACTCACTTAATTGGCCGAGTTGAAATTTCTAAATTCGATAATTTAATTTAAAACTTATTGTTACATGGAATTTGGAGTCAAATATTAATTTTCTCTCCTCTTCCAATCGAAGGGAGCTTTCGGATTCTGCAAAGATAATGTAAATATCTCCACGGAAACGGTTACAAACGGGAAATTACAACATCTGCATTTTCTTATCGGTGACGCTAGGTATCAAAAAATTACTTTTACCTTCTCTCGGAAAAGAACTATATAGGTCCAGAAGCTAGCTTTTCGTAATGAAGTTCCCCAAATGTCTCAATACCGTGCGTTCATGTATCGGGCGATTCTCAAACCCGGTAGATCTTACAGCGGGAAATGGGTGCTTCGTTACAAGCTGGCGCAGCTTGTCATTTTTCTCACATCGTGGAGAACAACCCAGTAGAGATGAACCTATGAAAATATAACCATTATAATACATCTTCTTTCTTTTTAGCATTCGTTCTATCCTCCTCAGGAGAAAAACACGATATTGGACCAATTTGGTTTCCGATATTCATTATTGTGGACTGTATGAGTATAATTGCTTACTCTGCTTTTGTATAAGAGGGATGTTGAATAAATATCGAAACTAATGATTAACGTGTTTATTGGTTAAAAATACAAATAAAGTAAACTGTGTCTAAATCTTGAACTGATGATTGATACAGCACATGTCATAGGAATTGGAATAATTACAAAAGGAATGTGAGCCAAGGGAAGGGTTCAAGATACAAAGGAAGATGAACGATGGTGGCGATGGTTGCTTTTTTCGGTAGCGGTAACGTAGATTGCTGGCGGGTTAAACATCGAAGGAACTTCTAACGACGAAAAACAAGCTCTGCGAAAATGACATGCTGCTTTTTAACAGACACACTCGTTATTAATGGTTGTACGACAACATTTTGTATTTCGACAAATGCTCATATGCAGGTTAATTGTAGCTTCGACGGCTCATGCACCGCACATAACAAGTGGCAATTAATGCAGGGACAGGCGAAATAGTTATATACAGGGCGCGATAAGGATAATTTCTTTAAACGAACTTTCAAAGGAATAACAAAGGAGGAAACACAGCTATTCGTATTTAATATATTTAATATAGTAAAGTAGGTCGTAGCCACGTATATCGTAGTAACCATTTTGGTTATTTGATATTTTAATGAACATGAAATTGAGTTTTAGAGGGCTGTGGAGAAAAGTGGTTTAAATTTCAATAATATATATGTCACTATTTTGATCTTGTGTAGGTATTTATTGACTATAGGAAGGTGGTCGAAGGCGGAAGAGATCATTTTTAGCCTTCTGGTACAAAGGAGATGAGTCGATTTTTTTTACTAAGAGAATTGAGAAAGTAATTTTAATAAAGTGAGGTAGCTGTGGATACAGTTTAAGCAACAAAATTTTAACTACGAGCTTGGACAAGGGCGTCCAGCCTTCTATACTCTCATACTAGTTTTTGAAAACGGAAAGACAAATGTTTCTGTCCTGTGGAATATTCAATATAACACAGGATTATGTTTGGTAAACTATACGTTTCTGGGGAAGAGCATAGCACCGGGAGTCTGGAGGGTATGGAACTGGAGTGTATGGAATACCACCCAGTCACACAGGATCGAGTACCCTTAATAAAGGAGGACTCGATAATTCCGTCTCTATTTCCCTTAGCACCCCCACGGGAAAAAGTTATTCAAATCTTCATATGCTAGGGGATATTCCATACCGCACAGCACCCCCCTCCCCCCGGTGAACCTGCATCCACAAAACACTGTTATTTTGACGTGATCTTTACGACGGCTCAAAACCAGTTAATTCATTTCTCTCTCTTCGAACCTTACACTTTTGCAAAATTTCCAGTTTTTCCCAAACTGCGGCGCTCTCTTATCGCCTGAATTTGAGGGAAAATAGGCTCGTCAACCTGACGACTGGTAACGTTGCAATCTGTTGTTTAGTCGCCTTTTAAGTCCGGTAGGGATATTCTACACGGAAAAACATGAAAGAAAGCCGAATAAATGAAAAAGATCTTTAATTATTTATAGAGAAATAAAAGTTGTGCGCTTAAATAACACTACTCCTCATTGTCGATGGATTTCTAAACAAAGAATGGGAAGGTATCAAGTTCAGGAAATACTGAGAATTCGAGTAGAGCAAAAAAAATCTGTTTAGCATTCATCACCGAGTCCTAATTAAGCCAATTTGTATTGACTACCTACCTTGAATAGGACGCTTTAATTGAGATGTTCATTTTCAAAATTTGTTCGCGCACATTTCTCCAATTATCCTTACTCACAATGCCATCTAATTTTCAAGCAAAATTTCTCAAATGGTGTTGAAAATTGTACTTCATTATACGAATCTCTCATTTCATTCACACTTAATTTGCACGGATGAGCTCTCGCTCATTTGAAAATTAACCGAGCCAGTTTTCCGCTCACATTCACCGCATTGTTAAGTGCGAAGATATTGTAGGATTTCTCTTTATGGTTACAAAAATAAACCATAAGGTCATATTATCAAGGGCAAATCGCTTTCGTCTAAATATGCGTTTTTGCATCCAAACAGTTTACAATAAAAAGAAAAAAGGTTCATTTTGTCTCCGTCAAGGTGACGTAACTAAGGAGTGACCTTGTTTGTGTGTGCAAGGTCGTGTCCTTGGGAAAGGGGATTTTATAATTAATAGAGACAGAAAGATTTTAAATTAATTAGGAATTGGATTATGATTCCATGTACCAGTTCTACAGAATTTTGAGGTTTTTCCAGTGACGGTCATTTGACTAATTAAAAATTGTTCAGTTACAACGCCTAGCCCAGGGTTAAAGTTGCAAGAATGATTGTTTCATAAAAATCGATGGGATTTTGTCGAAACGTTTATTTTGCCAAGGGCACACATTTTTGTTACTGCACCTTGCAGAATGTATAAACTTAGAAACATTAGTAAATTCTGGAAATTTCAAAAAAATGTGAGTAGCCAGAGAAAAATTTGAAGCAACTGTGTTTCGGAAATTCAGGTTAGTTTGCACTATGTCATTTTGTCACTTTCGGTCGACAGATGCTATTAAAAGGACACTTTTACTATATCTACGTGGCCACGACATTTGTCATCCTTCACGTAATGGAAAATATCAAGAGGAAAATTAGATCTGTCATCAGGACCAGCATCCAATTTGATATTGCCGTAACGTTTTGTAGTCAGACTGCAAAACGTTGACAGATATTGCCACTTTTCAGTTAGGGACGAACGTTAACAGTTAACGCAAACATGAGCTTAATGAATTTTGTAATTTGTGTCAGTCACGAACTTGGAATGCGTTCCTTTCGGCTCGTAATGAAGTCAGTCGCGGAAGTCGTACCTGCTGATCGGGGGTATAAATTGAGTTTACTACCGAAACCCGATAATTAACTGAACGGCTACGTGAAACGTCGCACGGGTTTGATTTAATTTTAGGCGTCTTTTAACACACTTCGCCCAGTTTCTGTTAATTTAATCAGTTTGTTTCAATTAAACCTCGACCAATTACCCATAAAGCTGATCGTTTAAGAATAATCCGTGAGCGTTTATTTGACACTTAAGCTAGCGGGTTATACCTACTATATTTATAACGTGGATATCGCCTAGAGCGCTAGACTATCAAACCAACAAGCTTCCTTATTATAGCTAGGATTTCCGTAAACAATGATAAGAGCGTAATGGAAAGACAAACTACCTACGTCTCAATTATGAAAAGCAATTTAAAATAAGCTCAGACAACAGAAACTTTTAATTAACAGACAAATAATTGTAAAGTCAAAGACAGTGTTAGCGTCAAATAAGAATTTGTTTACCTATAGATTTTTTACATTTATATGGTTGGTAAGGAATAAGAATCAATTCAATTATTGTGGCCTAATTGACCAAAAAATTCACAGATCTCGTAATTCTTGCAACTATCGGAAGGTATTGAAAACAAACACACTATCACCTACATCATATAATGAACAAGACGTTCAAAAATAAGAATGAATATACATTGGATAATAATAACGGTATAACGCCATCATAATATATAAAACAAATAACTCTT